TTCCTAATGTATCCCATTTGTAGGCAACAGGGCTGTGAATGAATACGCAGTAAAAAGAAACAAAGTCTGAAAGTTAATACCCCAGGCGCCAAACATGTCTGAAAGAGGAATGTAACCAGACATTTCTGTGTGTAGTACATTATTGCCTAATAGGCTTATCCTCTTCTACAGATGGTCAGATTATTATGATAGAACAGTTAAATGCAATATGCTGCCTGTTTAAATGTATGTACATAATGACATACTTTTGTATCTGTATTGTGGAGTTAGCGCAGTCCACATTAGCTAACTAACACAATAGCTTGTGGAAAATAAGAGGATTTCAAAATGGCTTCATACAAATCTATGCCTTTTATTATTATAAAATAATGTCTTTTCTTTGAGATGGCTCGCCAGTGCTTGGTGGTCAGTGCCAAGAATAGAGATGAAGCGTCTGGGAACCTTGGCAGGTGGCACTCAGCCACTTACAGAATCAGGCCTTTCCTATATATATGGTACCTTGTCACATGCAGCACTTCATTTATCCCTTTTTAAAATGCTCAGGAAAGAAACTCTAGACTCTGATGTGTGAAGTCAATGGCAGTTTTACCATTGACTTCAGTGGAACCAGGATTTCAACCCCAGTGTTTTTCCATGATCCAGTGCGGGCAGAGGCATTGGATATACCCCAATACCACACCAGTCCTGACCAGGAGGGACCATTATCAGAAAGGAAACAGTAGCCTTACCTCTGCCCCCTTCAATCCTCATTCTCTGCTGAACACGTGCACTCATTAGTGCCAGCTGTGTTGACAGTTTTTTCACGAAAGCAGTTATCCAGTTGAGAACTAAACAGAGACCCACAATTTACTCCATATAAGACATCAGACAGATGAAAGATTGTAACAACTTTTGATCAATGCTAACCACAGCTGGATTCAGAAAGGAGGCCTAGAGATGAAAACACTCTCATAGTACCAGTGCTCTGAGGGTATGTCTACAGTACAGAGGTTTTTTGGGAAAATGCTGTTTTTTCCGAGAAAACTTCAATTACGTCCACACTGCAATTGTGTTCTTTCAGAAAAAAAATAGAAAGAACTGAGGGGGTTTCCCGATATTCGTAAACCTCTTTCTACGAGGAAGAAGCCTTTTTCCGAAAGAGGTCTTTCGGAAAAAGGTGTGTGGATGGGGATCAGGGAGTTCTTTCGCAAGAAGAGGAAAGAGGAGAAAGCACATGTGTCCTGGTGGCCATTCCGCCCATAGTAATCACAGCTTACATGCGAGACAGTGTCCATTCAGTGTGGACGCTATCTGTTGAAAAAGCAGATTGCTTTTTCGATGCGCTTTGGCAATGTTGACACTCTCTTTCAGAAGAAGATTTTTTGGAAGATCTCTTCCAGAAAAGCTTCTTCCGAAAGAAGCCTGCATTCTAGACATAGCCTGAGTCATCTTGTCTTCCTTAAAAACTGCTTGTGAAACTTTCTCCTTTTAAATCAGTGCTCTTTATTTAGCTTTGGGATTAAGCTATTTATTTATATAAACTGCTCTTTGATAACATACTCATAGCCATAGGCTAAATCCTTGCTTCTTATTCAGTGAAACTCTGCTTGGCTTCAGAAGGAACTTTGCTTAGCTAATAACTACAAGATTTGGTCATAAAAGCTGACATTATGCAGGATTTAAATGAAAAATAGAGTAAGTACTATACGTTTTAGCCTTTTATGCTGGAGAATGTCCAAACCTTATTGATGCTGGATAAATGTAAGAAGCAGTACAGCCCCTTTATGGAACATAGAGGGTTGAAACAATAGGAGTTTCCACAGGCAAGACTGGAATAGGTGAGCTGTGTGGCCCAAGAGGTTTCCCCAGTATTCTGATCATAAAAACAGGGGCATGGGATTGATTGGATTGCAGCCATGTGTCTGTGTGTGAGAGAAAAATACCATAGAAACAGAAAAGGCAGCAAAAAAGCAAGGGTCGTCAGAGAAGGACTTGTAGCTAGAGACCCGTGTGGATGCAGGATTTATGGGTATAAATGTGGATATACATTAGATATCCACATTGTTGCTGGCCCTTGCTGGGAACTGCAGAGGCAAAAGCAGCATCACGTCAGGCCTCTACTTTCAGGAGCCAGTATACTGCGCGGGTAGCTTCTCCGGCATGGCTGTACCGCTCCCCAACCCTGCCCATTGGGGTAGGCAACAGGTTCAGTGGCAGATGTCCCTGGTCATGGTAGTGTGTGCAAGTGGCTTACATGCTCCTGGACTGGAGACACAGACCACTGCATGGCATGGACTCCTGTAACAAAAACAAGTGGAATAGCCTCCCTCTTTTGTAGCAATGTAAACAATTTCATTGCTTGCAGTTCACACTTTCCAACACTTGATGAGAGTCATCACTTTCTCCTTTCCTCTCAAGTTAGTCTTTTTATTTTTGTTGACAATTTAGCCCTTTTAGCTTTGCTGTCGCTCTTTTCTAAATTCCTTCCAATTTGTGGCTATTTTTCTGATACTGAGATGTCTAGAATCATTTGCAGTGGCAAGTGTAGCAAGATCATCACCTCATCTGCCTGTAACAGCAGCTCCAAATTGTAATCCTTTGGATTGTAAACATTTGGATGTCCACCCTCACTTCAGTTTTTTTAGGCATTGGTGCTCTATTACCCTGAATATCTTGGTTTGGGATTACTAGCCTTTTTCCAGGCTGAACCTCATTCTCTTATTTCTTGTCCATATTTCTTATCTCTTGGTCATCGTGTTTTGATTTTTCTGCTTTTGCAACACCTTTTATTTTAGGCCCTGATCCTGATTCTGCAACTGGCTCCTCACCAGTGCTGCAATCTAATGAGTGGAGAAAATTGCAGGAGCTGGGCCTTAGTGTCACCTTCAATATTCTGCTCTTCTTCCACAGTGTTAGTAAGGTGGCAAAATAAAACTAGGCCTTTCACCGGTCCTTAGATGATTTGTAAGGTTACATTTGGTCATGGATTCCATGACTTTCTGGGATCTCTGTGCCTTCTTTGAGAACAGGGCAAGAACAGAAATCCCAGGGCTGAATCAGCAACTGGGATTGGATGGGCCTGTGCAGCAGGAACAATGATGCTGGAGCAGTTGCTGGTGGTCAGTCTTGGAGACTCTGAACAGCTGACTGGTGGGCAGCCCTGGAGCAGTGGCCCCAGGTCTGTTGGGACAGCAATTGCCTAGACCTGCAAAGCAACATACAGTGTTGGATCAGCTCCCCCTGGGACTGGAGCAGGAGTGGTCAGCCTCTAACGCAGGAGCAGCAAGGCTGGAACAGCTGCAAGCCCTTGGCAGTGCTCTGTTCCCCTCCTGCTCTGGATATTTTTAGTAATAGAGACAGGTCCCGGGCTCTTGTGAATTTTGGGGTTTTTGCCCACAACTCTGAATTTTACTAAAAATACCTATGACAGAATCTTTGGGTTTGGAAATATCCCAGTTTGATACAGAATTTTTTAGCAATACTCTCTACTGTTGGTCATTCAGGAAATGTTCAGGAGAGCGTGTTCCTACTGAAACCACACCAATGGATGTTACAAATGTACAAAATTAAGAGTTACTGACCAACGTGGCCACCACAGAATACTATACCTCTTCCCCAGGCAATGGCAAACAGTCTCTTCGTGCCCTTTCCCTCCTCTTTATCCACACAGAAGCTATAGCAGCATAAGCACGGAACCTATAGTGGATCCTGTTAAGCATCAAAGCATGAAGGTGCATCATGGTTAATATGATTGCCATATGCTGGAGTATGTACAGAGCATATCCAGGGTTTGCCAGAATGAGGAAAAATCTTGGGAGGCCATGAACATACTCTTCTGAGAAGCACTTGAGCTGAACGACTGGCAAATGCTGCTGGTATTAAATCCTCTGGACACAGTGGAACACCGGTTCTGGTGCCATCAGACAAGCACAGACTGGGTGGACTTCAAAATGATGCACCTCTGGGACAATCAGTAGTGGCTGCAAAACTTTCACATGCGTAAGGTCACCTTCATAGAAGCTTGTGAATTACTTCCCACACCCTAAAGTGCAAGAATACCAGAATGAGACCTGCTCTGATAGTGGAGAAGCAAGTGGGAATTGCCCTGTGGAAGCATGCTTGATTAATGGGAAAACCTACAGTGGGAGCTATTATGATCCAAATAGCCAAGGCAATCAATACTCTGCTGCTACAGAGGGTAGTGACTCTGGAAAACATGGGTATCATAGTGGATGGCTCCAGGGCCAGCTCCAGGTTTTTTGCCACCCCAAACAAAAAGTCCCCCCCCCACCACCACTTTTTTTGTTGGCTTTTACACATGTTTGCACTTTGCAATTTTTTTTGTTTTGTTTTTTTTGACCATTTAAAATAAAAAAAAAAGAAAACAGAAAATTTGTAGTTAGCGAAATAAAACAATTTCCTACTAATGTACTCATTTAATTTTAACAAAATCACAATTACAAACATCATGGAGAGGAGGGGAGTGAAGAGGGCAGGGGCAGGGGCTCAAGCGGGGGTGTCTTGGGGAAGGGAGGGAGTAGATCTTGGCTTTCCCTGACATTTACAGCGTGATCTTGGGTGTGAAGAGGCTGGAGACCCCTGGCTGAGAGGCAAAAGGGAAGCTGCGGCACCTGCTCCCGCTGCTCAGCCAAGAGAGATGCTGTCGGAGGCTGACGTAGAAGCAGTGGAACACAAGGCCCATGATGTGGGGCTGGAAGCTGACTTGGGGAAGAGCTCTCTCTGCCCAAAGCAGGCTCAACCCCCTTCTTCCCACCCTCTGCGTGCACCTCCGTCTCTCGGTGCTGCACGGGGCTGCAGCTGCCAAACCATTGGAACAGCCAGGTCATGTGACCCACTTCAAATGGCAACAAGCATGCGGCTCCTCCAGGTGGTTGCCAGCGAAGCAGGGTAGGGCGTTCACACGCGGGCCGGCCGGCGGGAGGGCGGAGTCTGGGTGTGGGCGCGAGGAAGGGGATAATCTGTTTTACTTTTAAAAAAATTCATTCTGCTGCGTTTCCCAGGGTGCCCTGCGTGGGAGGTCCAGATCCTCCCTGCTCTTAGCGGCATTAGAAGATGTAGGCACGGCAGTGCAAGAGATCGGGTAAGTGATGCCTTCTCCTGCGGAGTGTTAATCAGCAGCACCCATGGGAACCTTGGAGCCAGGCATTGCCAGGGATGGCTGCTTACCTTGAAATGCCGCCTCTGGAAATGTGCTGCCCCAAGCACATGCTTGATTTGCTGGTGTGTAGAGCCAGCCCTGGATAGATGGAACACACATCCCTATCTTGATATCTGACCACCTTGCCACGGAGTATAGAGACCACAATGGGTATTTCTTGATGGAGTTGCAGGCGCAGGTGGATAACAAGGGCCATTTCACTGACATCAATGTGTAATGGTTGGACACATACACTTTTAGGATTTCCTGCCTCTTCAGAAAGCTGCAAACTGGAACTTTTTTCCAGACCGGAAAATTATGTGGGAGGCTTTGAAATGCCAATTGTGATTCTTGGTGACCCAGTCTACCTCTTGGTCCGGTAATTCATGAAGCAGTACAAGGGCAGCTTGGACTGCAGTGAGGAGCAGTTCAACTACAGGCTGAGCAAGTGCAGAATGGTGGTAAAATGTGCTTTTAGGCATTTAAAGGGAAGGCTCCGCAGTCTACTGACTAGGTTAGACCTCAGCAAATTCAGCGTTCCCATTGTGGTGGCAGCCTGCCGTGTGCACCATAATATTTGTGAGAGTAGGGGGGAAGTTATATGGCACAGTGCCTAGCCAGAGATTTGAGTCTCATGCCTGTTGCTCTCAATGAGGTGCCCCTGCATTCAGTGTGCTTGCCTGTGAACTGCCCCCCTTTTAACACAAGCCATAAAGAGACTGTTGTTTAGCAATCACGCATTTTTATTTAGGGAATACAGCAGGACAGAAAAGGAGTTCATGGTGGGAGCTTGGGATATGTGTGTGGTCACAATTGTGAGGACAGCCTTTTACTTTGGGATGCATCTTTGGGGGTTGAGTGTGAGGCTGCCCTTGGCCTTCCTATGCCTTGCATTGTAGGGCCCCTGGGAGAGGAAGTGATGGACCTCAGTGAAGAGTGAAGGTGGTTCCACAAGGACTGAAGTAGGTGCCTGTGCATGAAGCTGTCCTGGAAGTCCATCACACCCACTATGGTCATTGAGACTCTCTCCTGGTGCTGCACTTGCTGTTCCCTCATTTCCTCCAGCAGCATATTCCTCCATTTGCTTCCGTGCTTCCCGTCCAAGTTGGCAGATTGCATTTGCTCCTGGAACATGTCATCCCTACTCCATTTTTGCCTTCAGATTTGTGTCAGCCAGACAGCGGGGGGAGTGTGCAGTATGCTTGCTGCTGTTCCCACTGTAAAAATAAGTGAAAGGCTGACTTTACAGGAGATACACTGTAAAGCATAAAACTGAATATGTTAGCAAAAATGGAAAGTCTGTCTAGAGCCAATAGGGATGTGTTATGTACAAAGCCACAGTTATGATTTTAAGCAGCCACTATGCAGCAAGTACACCACAGAGTTCTTAGGGGAGCAGCTGGACTCAATTTGGTGGCAACCATGATAGGGGACAGGCCAGGGCTAGAGCCTGTGAGGAGGAGGAGGTCCAGGTGTCATAGTAGGGCAGGGGCACATATGGCACCTGTGTGTTTGATACTCCCTCTTTGACAGGAGAGTGCAACTTTCCCTTCCCACAGGACCATGTGGGCGGGCGGGTGAGGGGGTGAGAGGGTCTGGGCATGGTGGCAGGGCAGGTCAGGGACTCATGTTATATCTGTGTGTTCAGCACATGATATCTGTGTGAGTCTAAGGCTACAGCACCAGTGTAGGCTCCCTGCTGTGGCAGAGGGGTAGGAGGGCCAAGCTCAAGCCATGGACCACCTGGATGGCAGCTGCGGAGCCCCCTCTTGCTTACTTGGGGGACCATGGAAGGGTTTAGTTGCACCCTTCGCACAACCCCTGCATACGGGCCTGCGCTAATAGATTCCCCTGCTTCATCCACATTGTCATGTGAGATATCAGTCTTCTCCAAATCCCAGAGATTGCTAGAGAGCAGATGCTGACTGATTGTGGCCAGAAACCTGGATCTTATGCTGCAGTGCTTTGTGCTGCAATGGTGACAGACCATTTACTGCTGGCATGGCATACATAGATGTCCTACTGTGGAGGATGTAATAAGGCAGGCCTTTCCAGAAACTTTGTGGCTATGTCTATACTACAAGGTTTTTGCTCAAAAACGGGCACAGCGTCCACACCTCAAGTGTGTTTTTGCGCAAAAAAACAAAACAAAACAAAAAAAACCAGTAAATTGTCAGGACAGAGGGATTTTGCCAGTAATTTCTCTCCCCATGAGGAATAACTCCTTTTTGTGCTACAACTCTTGCGCTCCGCAGGGGTTTCTTGTGCAAAAAGAGCCTATCAGAAAAAACACAGGTGCTCTGATGGCCATTCTGTTAATGGCAATCAGAGCTTTCTTGCGCAAGAGCATCCATGCAGTGTGGATGCTCTCTTGCACATAAGCACGTCACTTTTGCAATGCACTTTTGAGGTGTGGACGTGCTTTTGTGCAAGAAGTTTTTGCGGAAGATCTCTTCCGCAAAAAGCTTCGTGTGCAAAAACCCTGCAGTGTAGACAAAGCCTGTGAGAAAGATTAAAGAATTCCTTTATGAGCGCTTTATGGAGATGTGCAGGGAGGATTCCTGTTTGGTCTCCAGACATGTTAACAAGCTGTTTTGAGGACCCCCACACAGATCACATTTTTCATCATTCTACAAGTGGGTGAACACAATTGGGTGTGAACTCACCAGAAGTGCCTTCCCTGGGATTGGTGCCTGCCCATGAGACATTCTGGGAGGAGGGGATTGTCTCCAAAGTTATGAAAAGATTCTGAAAAGACTATTACATTAGTCAGGGATCATTGGGGTGCAGCAAGGTGCTAACCGTCCCTCCTCTCCCAATTGCGTCCCCTGTACATGTAGGGGAAATCCTAGTTTACTAAGGAGGGCAGCTTTATGCTCCCCTTACACTGTAGGAGTGGCACAAAGAGACTGCACAAGGCAATGGCTCTCACCCCCTGAGCTATTTCCTGATTGTGGTTGATATTGTTCTACTGCCAGGAATAACAAATACTTCCTAATACAATTGACCATCAGTGTCACAGTGAAAGAACTTTTTAAAAAAGTAATTACTTCCTTCTTTTGTAAACTGAGTTCACTTTAAGCAGTAGGAATTCTTTGTAATCAGTAAATAATTCAGGCTACTGTGGCTATATTTTATGGCAATGTTTACCCAGAAGTAAAATTAATTGTTCTTTCCAGTATAGTGACATGAATGCATTTAATCTCTTTGACAGGGAGTGGCAGTTCTAGATAAAAATATTAGGTGGGACATTGTAAGACTAATGAGATGCCAATATGTTAATTAGCAAAGCACATGTTTTAGAGCAGTCTTCAGTCATCACATAACTGTGGCTGCTGCATTGTTCAATTAAATATTAAGCCTTCCTTGTAGTCCTACTGATGCAGCTTCAGTACACCCCTGCCAGAGAAAATGCTACAAAGTCTGGCTCCTCCATCTCAAAGATGAAAGCTCTGTGTTGTTAAGTGAATATCTGGGTGTCCTCATGGACAGGGAGGTGCCTTGAGAGTAGGCATCCTGTGAAGAGGCAGGTAGGTACAGGCAGTCCCCGGGTTACGTACAAGATAGGGACTGTAGGTTTGTTCTTAAGTTGAATCTGTATGTAAGTCGGAACTGGCATCAGCCGCTGCTGAAACTGATC